CCATCGGACCCATGGCGCAAGTTTCGGGGGGGAGTCTAGACTAGCTACCCTAAGGATCTCACTGGACTGCCTGTCAAACGGATCTCACTGGACGCGCCGCGAGGACCAGCCGAGGAGTGGCACTCGGATGCGTAGGGTAGCTGCCGTGAAATCGAATCGTGTAAAAGCTGAGGACACAGAGGCGTGCGATCGGTCGATCGGAGTGTGATCGTGCGTGGCCAGTGTACATGAATCGGACTCGCAAAGACTTGGGAGGCGGGGCATCCCCAGGGCCCGTAACCAACCAACCAACCAACCAAGCTCGCGATGATCGCTTTTCGGCTCGCATATCTGTCGACGATCTGGCTCTGATCTGGCAGCAGGTGCTCTACTCCGAAGACGTCCATCGCCCTCTCAGCTGATCTGGAAAGATCGTGGCACAACCACGCTTCCCGGTTTGAAGATGTCGGCAGTTCGTGATCCGGAGGTCATGGAAGTCGATACGGCGATTGAAAGGGCCATTGATCACCTGAAGAAGCATGACGCTCCGAGGCCATTCATCGCGGGAGCAATCGACCTCATCCCAACGGTCAAGGCGGCCAACCGGGCGCTGCAACCCAACTGTGACTCGGCAAATGGGGCGCCTTTCTTCCAGGCGACTCTCAAGCATGTGTACGACACGCAGGCACGGCAGTCGGCCGTGGGTATGAGCGGCGGCACGGTGGTCTGTTTGCGTGTGCGAAAGGCGCGGGAGGTCCCAGCCGATGAGCTGACAGTTGGATGTCCTGCGGGCGACTGGAGGTCTGCGGTGCGGCGTGTGTGCGACGAGGTGGCTTCCGAGATGTCGCCGGCCAGCGAGGTGACGGCCGACTTCTACAAGCTGCTGCTGTACGGCGATGGAGATTTCTTCGAGGCTCACAGGGACACTCAGCGATCCAATGACCATTTCGCCTCTCTGCTCATCTTCCTGCCAACTGGCTATCAAGGAGGCGACTTCATTCTCGAGCAAACAGAGGGGTTCGACTCGGCCACCTTCAACGAGCAGACGCAGCGCACCCTGGCGGCCAAGAAGTGTCGGTGGGTGGCCTTCTTCTCCGACATCCCCCACAGTGTGGCGCCCGTCACGTGCGGCTATCGTCTGGTGCTGACCTACAATCTGCGGAGAAGGCCGGTGGCGGAGATGGTGGCATCGCCACAGACAGCTGGTGGCTACCTGGCGCCTCCGCTGCAAGCGATGATCGACTCGCTCCATCATCACTTCAAGTCCTTGCCGGTGAGCTAGTAGGGCCAGGCGGCACCCAAAGTATACCGATGGTGAATGATTGTGGTCTCTCTACGTGTGTCGTGCACACAGGCAAAGCTTTCAGACTGGTACCACAGGTGCTACGACACCGAGAGCTTCATCATCCATTTCGAGCACAGGTACACGCCCTCGACGATGGGCGTGGAGCACCTCAAGGGCATCGACAGCCGCCTCTACCAACTGCTGTCGGCTCACTTCGACGTCGACATCAGGATGATGTCATCGGCTCAGCAGTGCGGCGAAGATGCGGATGAAAACTGGGGCTTTCACACTGTGGCTGACCAGTGTGCCGCCGAGGTGACCCGCAACGCAGCGGTCGGAGTTCAGGTCGCGGCCTCGACGGAATACAACAGCAGACGTGGAGCCTACCCTCTTCCAGATCCGGAGCACCAAGACGAAGAAGAGGACAGCTTGTTCGAGCGCATCCAAGGAGAGAGGGGGCGTAAGCTGCTATACCAGTACCCCCCGGCCTTCGGGAAGGGGATCTGTCCAGCCACCCATGTGTGGTCCAGGGCGTTCTATCGTCGCATGCATCCCAGGTTCGAAACCCGAGAACACGTGCTGGGAAACGACTACCCGGAGTGGGACAAGGTCTATCTCTCTGTGGTCATGGTGGTCAAGGAGCGAGCACCAGCCGGACAAGGGGGAGGGGAGCCGAGCAGCGCGACGAACGATAGCATGATGGATTGATGTCGGGTCTGTGTCACTCGCTGTCCGTGTTGTTCCCCGATCCATCAGTATCGTGGTTTGGTGGCCATTTGTTACTGTCAGTTCTGGTCATTGTGGGCTGTCCTTTTGAGATTGCAATAATGTGAGCATGTGCGTGTAAGAGATTCGATTGGCTTCCACATGGCTCAGATCTCACACTGGCTGTCCGTAGTTGTGTGAGTGCATGAGACCTTGACATTCATTCGGTCAACGAATTGACTTATACGAAGGAAGAGAGGCAAAGTCGGGTCCCCCGCACTTGGCGCGAAGGCACAGGCGTATACACATGACCCATGGCTAGCAACACAAACCGCTATACACGTCTCAGTCAGTCAGCCTGCCTGCCTGCCTGCCTGCCAGAGAGCACCGTCTAGAGGGCGGCGCGACAACACCATGGGCCCCTCACTCGACCAGGCGCGAGACCGAGTCGTCAACGACGATATCATACCGCGTCTTCTTGATCTGCGCCCCCACCTGCAGCATCTTCTTCTCCTGCTGCTGCGCGTAGTCGCTGTTCTCCCTGCACACGCACACGCACACGCACACGCACACAGACAGACAGACAGACAGACAGAAATTGCAGCCTCTCCGCCCGCCAACGAACACATTCCTCATGTCTGTCTGTCTGTGTCTGAGCGGCGTTTGCTCACCACATGAGTCTGAATTTGGGCCTCCGCCACATTCTGAGTTGAAGGTAGGACCAAGCGCTGTTCTCCCAGTCGATGGCCTTGTAGAGCCGCGTCCACTCGTAACTGTGATGATAGCACGCGGCGACGAACACACACACACAGAGAGAGAGAGACAGCGTCCATGCCCGTCTGTCTGTCTGTCTGCCTCGCTTCGTGGCTCTGACTCTGCCTCACTGACCCCTCGCACTTGGCTGCCTCCCCTGCGTGGTCGTTCCACAGCTGCTCAAACTCGTCTATGCTCGACTTCGGCAGCTGGATCTCCGTCACCTGCACAAATTTCACAAAGACGCACACACAGAGGTAGGTAGGTACACGTGTGTGTTAGTGCGTCCGTCCGTCCGTCCACCCATGAATCACACCTCTAGGCAGGTGGGTTTGGCGTAGACCTTCTTGGCCATGCTCCTGAACCCCGTAACGGCCCCTGTAAGGGCACCCATCCCCATCCATATGCCCATCCGGGTCTCGATGTTCGTCTCGTTGTACCTGCACCAGACACACACACCCACAGACAAGCCAATGACACACACACACACACACACACACATACACACACACCCGCCTGTCAGTGACTGTTCTGTGTGTGCATGTGCAGTGCTGGACACACTCATTCCCCACCAGTATCTGAATCGTGTTATGGCCATCTTGAGGTCTCTGTAGACCGTGGTGGCCATGTCAAGAGCCGCCATGCCGCAAGATATGGCCTGTAGCTGCGACAACAGCACAGCGGTCTCGTTACCTCGCTTTCAGCTCGTCACACCACCGACAGATCTGCAGCAGACGCTTGCGTGACGATCTCCCTTCTTCACTTGCGAGCTTTGGGTCGACGAAGGTGCGGTACGCTGAGATGGAGAGCTCCAAAAAGCGTGTGGACATGTGGATTGACTGCGGTGAGGCACACCAACGACCTGATTGAAAGATCCATGCTGAGATCTCATGCCATCACCACTCACATGACATGACACTTGTGCCTACAGATCCGGGTCACGACGATTGTTTCGGGCTGACGCTGGCGTGCTACCCGCCGCCACCCATCGCTGTCAACCTGCTGGGCGTGTCCACAGTGCACGGCAACCAAACGGTCAGTGCGGATGAATGGAAGCATGCATTCCTTCAGTCACTCGTTCTCCCTTGGTGGTAGGGGTGGTGGTTAATTGTGCTGTCTGTCGGTGCAATGCAGGTGGACAAGACGGCTGGCAATGCGCTGAATTGGCTGCATGCTTGTGGAGTTGAGGACGTCGGTAAGTCTGTCAGTCAGTCAGTCAGTTCGGTCATTTCTGCGCATAATGCGTTGGCCGCAAATACACACAGATGTGTACCGGGGCCAAGCGGCGCCGCTCGTCCGCAAGGCGGCCATCTGGTATGGGTGCCCACACACACACACACGCAGTGCACACGGGATTATGTATCAGCCACACAAGCATGGGATGGGTGTGTGCGGTTTGTGTGTGTGAGCAGTCCCGAGATCCATGGCGAGAGTGGTCTAGATGGGTTTGCCTTCCCGCAGCCGCACAAGGGGGTGCGGACAGAGAAGGCCGTCATGGCAATGGCAGACAGGTGCGTGTGTGTGGTGGGATGGGAGGGAGGGAGGGAGGGAGGGAGAGAGGGAGCGACCACACACACGCATGGCATGGCATGGTGGCAGGCACCTGTGTGTGTCGGTCCGTCTGTGTGCGTGCAGGATAATGGGAAACGAGGGGAAGGTCACCATTGCAGCCACCGGTGGGTGGGCACCTTAGCTTGCACATCAATCAAATGAATGAATGAATGAATGAGGTTTAATGAATGAATGAGGTTTGTGTGTGTGTGTGTCTGTGTGCAGGTTGTCTGACGAACATCGCTCTGCTTCTAACTCTCTTTCCTGAGGTCACTCGATCGGTCTTCCACACGTAAGACAGGGAGGAAGACAGAGAGACAGGCAGACAGGCAGACAGACAGGCAGACAGAATCAGGGAGAAAAAGGCCGTCGACTGGCTGCACATGACCGACGACTGCACATGACGACTGCACGTGGTGGTTGTGGTGCATACAGGTGAAGCCTCAGGTAGACAGGATCGTCATGATGGGGGGCGCCATGGGTAAGCGAAATGAATGAATGAATGAACGAACGAATGAACGAACGCGTGTGTGTGTGTGTGGTGTGTGTGCACTGTCTGTCTGTCTGTCTTGATTGCAGGTTTGGGCAACACCGGCCCTGTTATGGAGTGGAACATCCAGATCGATCCAGGTCAGGGTGCGTGAGTGTGGTGTGGTGGGCGGTGCGGTACGGTACGGTGCGTTGTCTGTCTGTGTGACTGACTCGTCCGCCCATCCGCCCATCCATCCCTCCCCTCATTCATTTGCACCACAGAGGCGGCCCACATTGTGTTTGAGAGCGGGCTTGACGTCTGGATGGTGCCGCTAGAGGTCACACACAAAGGTAAGGTGTCTATGGTATGCAGGCCAGGCCTGCCTACAACTCAACTTGCGCAAATCTGCCTGCCTGCCTGCCTGCCTGCCTGCCATCGTGCACTGCACATGTCTGTCTGTCTGTCCAGCTTTGCTCACTCAGGAGCACCTGCAGACAATCAAGCAGGTACACACACACACGCACACACACACACAGACTCTCATTTTCACACACCAATGCCTCCCTCCCTCCCTCCCTCTCCAGATGGGCGGCCCCTTCTCGTCCTGCTGTGTGTCCCTCCTGACATTCTTCTCGTCCACTTACAGCCGCGTCTTCGCCTTCGACCAGCCCCCGCTGCACGACCCGTGTGCCATGTGGTGCGCCATCAGCAAGGGCAAAGGCTTCACTCACAAGAAGATCCGAGTGGACATCGAGATGGCATCCAGTCTGACAGCCGGGCAGACGGTGTGCGACTTCTTCAACCTGACGCACAAGACGCCCAACGTGCAGGTGTGCACCGACATGGACCTGCAGGAGTTCTGGCGGGTGATGCTTGAGGCTGTTCGGAGGGCGGCGGAGAGGTCACCACTCTGACACTGACTGGTTGAGGGAACTAATTGGCGGGCGGTGGGTGGATCAATGAGCTATGTTGAGGGATAGGATTGGGAATAATGATTGGCTGGCTGTCCTGTCCGCACCGTTCCCATACGCACGAGAAATGCGTCCCATCAGCACATCATTGAACAAAGCATAGCTGTTTTCACTTAGTCAGAATGTCCTCCTAGCTATATTGACAAGGCCCCGACCCACACAGGTGCACACCACAGTGGACGGAAACACGCCATCATTCTCGTCCTCACCGCCATCGTCTTGCAGCAGCCCTTGCCCATCATTCAGCTCTTCCTCCGCCTTAAGCGGTGTCTGCAGCTCTGTCTGCTCCTTCATTCTGTCGGTGTCTTCAGTCAGCTCGAAGGCCACGCCGAGGAAGTCGCGCACGTGCCGCAGAAACTGCACGGTGTAGGGCGTCAGCCTCGACAAACGAACCTGATGACACACACGGGACGAGGAAAGCGATGGATGAATGGTTCATTCTCTAAATGCGTTGAGACGACGGCTGCGCTAACATACTTACTTTGCACTGCTGGTGCTCCTCTGCCAGGGCCATGAAGTAGAGAGGCAGGTACTGGTGCGTCGAGTCAGTCACGCCCCCGCTGCGGATCTCCAGCAGCAGACGAGAGGCCGCAAGCTTCCCAACCAGCTCTGACTGCGTCATGGCACTCTCTATGCCGGCACTCTCGTCGTCCATCTGACTGTTGCCCCCCGCCATTTGGGTTTTCTCCTCCTCTCGTTTCGCCAGCTGCCGCACGATGCTCCGTCGGCCAGAGATTCGCTCAGATTGCTGCCCGTCGCCCGTCTGGGTGGTCTCGGTGAGGGCCTGGAGCGTCCCGTCGCTGCACACGTCAGCTCCCTTGCTGAAGCCCTTCATCGTCTCGGCTACGAGCGACACCCCGAAGCCGGGCGAGTTGCCTGATTTGTCCCCTTTGGCGTGCTCAGTGTAGATCCACACGTCCGGCAGAAACCGGTTGAGCAGCCCCCTCGCCCTGTCGACAACACGGGCTGCGTGCTGCTGTGAGACTCGCGCAGTGAATGCCACCCCGCGGACCCTCTTGATGCGGCCGACGTCGAGCAGCCGCACCGGGGCGATCTTCTTGACTATGGGGCACTCGAAGAGCACCTCCCCGCCGCCCTGAGGCACCGCGCCTCGCCGAATGATCTTGAGCGAGAGGCCCTCGATGACGCCAAAGTGGCGGAGAAGGGGCAGGGTGACCGTGCGGACAGTGTCGATGGACGGATCCCGGTTGTCGCTGGTGATGCCGCGAAGGGTGATGGACAGGGGGGCCTTGGCGAAGGGCGCCAGCATGATCAGAACCTCCAGAAAGTAGGCGATGGACCGTGAGGTGCCGCAGTCGTGGATGAAGCCATCGCCCCCCATCAGCTGCCCAGGTCGGTACCGCAGTACCGTACCTGTTTCGTCGACCTGGATCTGGGTGCCCTCCGTCAGCTTGTCGAGCAGCCGCAGCAAAGATGCCTCGTAGTCCTTGAGGCCTGGGCTCTCGTCGACGGCACGGATGTTGTCAATCTTGACGGGGCGGCCGCTGATGGTGGACAGCACCAACCGCTGCCGAAGGAAGGAGCTCCCAGAGTACTTGAGCATCATGAATTCTCCCCTCAGTCAGAGCATTCAACAAGACCACCGTAGATAGCGATGAATGTCCTCAAGATAGAGCACCTGCTGCCCAGATCACTGACCGAGGAATGCGAGCCGAAAACCATCGCGATTGCGTTTGTCGAGGTCCGGCCCCTGAGGGCAGATGCTGTAGTCCATAAAAGCGTTTGTGTTGAAGAGGAGAAAGCAGGAGGCGATGGGTTCTTCTCAGTCGTCCGGCTCCAACTCTCCCTCGACGACAGCATCTACCTCCTCCAGCAGCAGCCAAACCGTCGCAGTGCGGTCCTTATCCACCGGCAGCAGGGCAGATCCGCTGCCCCCAGTCAGCCCGCAATGGACGGCAGATGGCGACTCCTCTTATCAGGCAGCAAGCATAGCGATAGACGCACAGATCAGGTCTGCCTGAGAGGAAGATCTGTTTCTGTGTGTTTGTGTGCGCGTGTGTGTCGGTTGCCTTCCAGGTGGTAGACAGCGGCAACCTGGAGGTCTTGCTGCTTCATCGGTCCGCCGCGCCCACTCGGGTGTTTCGGATCATATCGCTGTGTCACGGCAACACCATATGGGAGGAGAAGGTGGTGGATGCAGCGACAGGGGAGCTCATCGCCAGACTTGACCAGAAATTCGATGCCAAGTTCAAGGTCAGACAACAGCAGACCGATAGGCACACGTGACTCCATCTTCATTTCTCTCTGTTGTGCGTCTGTCGGCGATCAGGTGTACTACCCTGATGGGCGCGAGCACTGCACCATCTCGCGTGACGGCTGCACTGTGTCGTACCGCAGCGACAGGAAGGCCAAGAAGACTGTCGTCGTCCGATGCAAGAGGGGCACTCGGTTGGAGGCCATGATGGACAACGAAGAGGTACGCCATGCAGACAGACAGACAGACAGACCACGTTAACAGTATCTGTCGATCGCATCAGTGGTGTTGTGTTGTTCTTCTGCCCCCTCGTCCTTCATTCAGCCGCAAGGACCGGCCACATGTGTGACGACCACCGCGGGCCGGCTGCTGGGCCGCCTGCACAGCTCACGCATCGAGGCCACGGCCGGCAGCGACGTGGTCTTTCTTGTGTGCATGTGGCTTGCCAGGCTGGACGCCATAAGAACGGGATGGTACGCGCACAGAGAGAGAGGGGACTAGATGGATGGTGGATGGTGCACCAGTGGTGCGGCTTCTCTCTCTCTCTCTCTCTCTCTCATTGGCTGGCTGTAGGACAAAGGGGCGAGTGGAGATCACCACATCTCGCGGATTTTGGCAGATGTTGAGCAGCTGCCAACAGCTGGGCACTGGATACCACCCCATGGCGTGACTCGCCTGTGGTGTGATGTGAATGCATCCATACCAGTTAGTTGGTCAGTTGGCTTTGACCCCATATGTGATGTGAGCGTGTGTTCCGTTCTTGGACGTGTGTCTGTCTGTCTGTCTGCGGCTGGCGGCTCCCTCCCTTTTTGTGCCTTTCGGTGCTGCATAGACATGACAGAAGAGAGGGAGGAGAGAGAGGGGTTTGTTCGGTCACTGCAGTCACTGCCTGAATGAGGCAGGCGAGTAAGCGAGCATTCACAGCTGTTGATAGCTAGGGGGACCAACTGTCAGCATAAAAGTGAGTTGCACTTGGAACGCTCTTGACATCCATCCATCCATCCACACATGGAAGAATCGATAACAAGGGGCTGGCTGCGCAAAAAGACGCATCGTCGTCTCTCCCTGCCGCTCCCATTCAGACATTCACCCAAAGCACTCACTCAGTCACTGCATACACACACACCCTACACACCCTACAGAACCGAAGGGGGCTTGGCCAGGCCAGCTACGGCACATCGGTCGACTGAATGATCTTGACGTTGGCCTCCTGCAGCTTCTGCTTCATGCTGTCCGTCGTGCACTGCGCCACCCCCCGACAGGCATTCAGCACCACGTACGTCTCGAAGCCATTCTTGGCGGCGTCAAGGGCGGTCGAGCCCACACAGTAATCGGTTGCAAGACCCTGTATGATGCATGTCAGACAGACACACAAAACACACGGATGGGATGACAATTAAGTGTGGGTGGGATTCGATTGCCTCCTTGTGTTGTGTTGTGTTGTGTGTAGACACCCTACCACTGTGTAGACGGTCTGAATGCCCCTGTCCTTGAGCAGCTGCAGCAGCTCCGTCTTCTCTGGGGCGCTCCCAAACCCGCTGTAGCTGTCGACGGTCTTGTCCAGACCCTTCCTCACAATGAGGTCACCTGCACAGCGCTTCAGCTGGGGATGGAAGGCCGCGCCCACCGAGTGCGCCACGCAGTGCACCGGCCACATCATCTGGTCCACACCCGTGTCTGGCAGCTTCTTGACTGTGAAGAGCTCGGCGCCGGGGTGGTTGGCCGCGAACGAACAGTGGTCAAGCGGGTGCCAGTCGCAGCTGCAAACAAGGTGGACACAGCACAATTTATGAATACAGTTAACACACAGACAGACACAGAGAGATGCGAGTCTGCGCTGCGTGTATGTCTTACGTGAGGATGACACAATCGAAGAGGGGTTTGTCCCTGAGGCTGTTGATAACTGGGAGGATCTCCTCGGCCTCATTCACCGCCAACGAGCCGCCCTCGCAGAAGTCGTTCTGCACATCGACGATGATCAGAGCCGCCTTGCCCATTATCTATCCTCCACCCACGATGAATGATATAAGTAGGCGTGGCCCTTTCCCACTTCCTCAGCACACACCGTATTCCTGATCCTTTCCGAGATCTGAGCGGTCAGAGAGAGAGCGGTTTCACGGAATTTCATTGCGAGCTTAAGCCGGGGTAACAAGGAGGAAGTATGGACCACCCTCAGGTGAAGAGGAAGAGAGGCTTCCCGAAGCCCAAGGCCGCCCCTCACATGCGCATCCAGTCGCTCACCGCCGACAGCGACGACATCCTTGCCCGCGTCAAGCACTTTCTGCCCCAGCTGGAGCATGCCAACCGCCAGATCAGCCTCCCCTCCAAACGCCCGAAGGACGAGCATGCTATTGACGGCGAAGGCGATGAAGATCAAGGTGATGACGGCCCATGTGTGGAGATGTCGGTGCACATGGGCGTGTACGACGTCAAGGGGCAGCTGCCGGACGAGGCGGCGCTGAAACGACTCGGCATCACGCCAGTCCGCCGTCCCGCAGAGGAGGACCCTGGTTGCAACTCTGCCGGTCTGGCGGTGGAAGAGTGCGGGTTGGAGGAGGCGCTGGGCGAGGGGGTGGCCACGAGCTCAGATGAGCTCGTCCGCCTGCCTTGTGGTGTCGGCGATGATGACCTTATCCGAGAGCTGCGGCTGCCTGATGGGTCGGTGGTTGGGCAGGGTGGTGCTTCTCGTGCTGCTGCAAGGGATGCAGGGGACGAGGGGAAGGTGGGCGGTCCGCTGATCAGAGAGGTTCCTGGAGGGGAGAAGGCAGGAGGGGGAGCTGGTGGTGGGAAAAAGAAGATGGTCAAGGACGGGGCTGAATGACAGGCAGGCAGGCAGGAACTATCTGTGGACAGATTTGAGACGATGAGTGACAACAGTTTTCTTCTCGCCGTGTTGAGTTGGGTTGTGTAATCAATCAATCGACTGAGTTGCAGTGTTGTGTCTTTGCACTTTGAGAGAAGCTATAGCTCGTTATTGGAGTGACTGAGTCGAGTTCGCAGGCCAGGCCAGGTCAGGCCAGGCCGGCCACAAAACAATGGCCGCCGGCCGGTCCCACTGCAGGCCATGCAGGTGTTTGCCACGTCAATCATGATGATGTTCACAAGCACCGAACTATAAATAGCACTAAGGAGGGGAGCGGACTGTGAATAAGCACCATCTCGGGAGTGGAGAGAGAGAGGGGTGAGTGATTGGGGGCCGGGAGTTAAGACAGCAAAGGCAGTCAACAGTGCAATCTGCCTGCCTCCACTGTCGTCTCCTCCCCCCCCCCCCCCCCCCCCC